GAAAGAAACACTTATTTTTGGACTTGGTCACTACGTAGATTTAATTTGCTTGACTTTGGGGGTTTGTTATAAAGGACTTTTTTTTTCTTTCACTCAATTTTTATTGGGGAGCAGGAGAAGACAGACAATCAGAAAGAGGGAGAGTTGGCAATCATGATGCCAATAAAAAGAGAGCCACTGAAACATTTTTGTTAAATAAACAGGAGGGAACAGAAAGAAGTTCAGAAGGAAGCAGAGATAAGCAAGGAAGTCTGGAAAACAACTTTTAGAATTATATACATTTTTTTAAGCAAGCAGTATAAAATAGCAATTCACAGCTCCATATACAATTCTCTTTTTGTATTCTGCCACGTCTGTCATATATGGATATGCCCTTTTGTTTGGTGTTTAAGTTCAAAATAAAAAAGTAAAAATTTTTAAAAAGAAGGCTTCACAGATGTAGTGACTCTCCTAGTCCCTCCTGGCCCATGATCCTCTAACCAAGTTAGTTTTCACAAGCATATGTGTGCATGCACACACACATACATACACACACATACACACATACACATACTATTACACACCTTCTTTACCCAGAACGTAGCAGTGTTTTGCACAGAGCAGGAGCTCAATAAATAGAATATTTGTTGATTGATTCACTCATTACCTTAAAGACTAAACAGTGCTATGCACTCAGTGGGTGCTTAATAAATATTTGCTGTTGTTGATGATGATGATGATGCCCCCAAAGATCATTAACATAATAGTCATCCAAATTAACTCCAGCAGGGAGCTTTTCAGGGTCGCCAATTAAGAAGAAAATAAAGTGAAAATATTTCCAGAGTCAATGAAGCACAGAAGCATAAATATATTTTAACCCCATAACATCAACCTGCAGCCTGGCCTGTGCCCGCTAACTTAACTATTACACATACACACCTAACAATCCTCAATGGCATGAGGCCAACTAGAGAAATCAACAAACTACCACGAGGACCTCAGACCCATATATCTTCCCTGTCCCTATCAGAGGACCACTGATGGTAATGGTGCATGTTCAAATATACATCTTCTGTAATAAGACAACTCCCAAAATTAACTTCTTCATTGAAGAGATAGGAATTCTCCAAGGCCAGCTTGCAGAAAATTTGCTTCTGGTTTTCCTCCTTGCTTCAACAAAATAATTCATGATTGTATAATTAAGCATTACTTTTAACTTGACTTAAGTTAGAGATTGACAAGAGTCACATTCCTACTCCTATTTTTTTCTTTATACAGATGTATGATTTCAGTGGTATAAGGAACTCCCAGTGAGGAATAATCCTCTCCCAATGAAGCTCAACAACTATTCTGTGACTTAAACTCTTAGACAATGAATCTGAGTCTTATAGTCTTAGTGAATCTATTTTCCTCTTCATCAATCTGCCTCTCACACACCCATTTTAGAGGTATAAACACTGAGGCTTCTGGGAGAGGACAATATGAGTTGGCATTCCCAGCACTAACCCTACCTAACAACAAGGGAGTCTTAATGTAAAAATATGTTTAATAGGAATGTATATGTATAGCCTATATCAGATTGCATGCTATCTTGGGGACGGAGGCAGGAAGGGAGGGGGAAAAATTTTAAACTGAAAAGCTTATGGAAGTGATTGTTGAAAACCAAAAATTAATTAATTAATTAAAAGACAACAACAAGAAGTGAGTCTCCCATCAGTCTCTTTCAGCCCCTGGATGTCAGAACTTGCAACCTTTCTTTGATTCATTAAGTCCTTCTGTGGCTGACATACTTCCTTGTAATTCACAGAATCAAAGAATCACTGAGTTGAAAGGAAATTTACCGACATCTAGACCAATCTGTGTCTAAAAGAGTAATTTCCTCTACTCTGTGCCTAAGAGTCATCCAATCTCTGCTCAAATGCTTCTCCATGAACAGGGAACTCCCTACCTAACCAAGGTCTGACTGTCTGAAATTTCTTTCATATGCTGGGTCAAATCTGCCTTGCTTTAATACATACCCAATGATCCTACTCCTGCCCCTCTGGAGACACATGGAATAAGCCAAATCTCTGCTCGCTACAATAGCTCTACAAATATTTGAAGGCAGTCATCATGTCCCCAGGAAGTCATCTCTCTTCTCAAGAATAAACACTTTCAGCTCCTTAAAACTTTACTCTTATGACATGGTTTAACTGGAGTCACGAGACCCTGTTACAATAGAACGAATGGAATTAAGTTTAATATTCTAGGTGGTGCCTGACACAGTGTGGCTACCACATCCCCAGAAGGGGATACTATACTCCCTGGTGTTTTGCTGAGTCACAGAGATACTGCCATACTGGTGTCAACCTTGGAAGTATTTCTCTAAGTCACTGCCTATTGTGTCTATTCTCCTGGCACCCGGGACCCAGAAATGCTGGCTTGACAGGTAAGATAATTACGTTTTACCCTTCAGCTCTTTCCTTTATCGGATACACTGGGAACTGGATAAGCACGCTGACTTAGGAAGACAATTCTATAGTTTTCATCCCTATTTTCTCAGTGCCAACCCATTCCCCATTTATCAGACTATAGACCCCATTTGTCAATGCTCCCCAAGACTATCTTGTACCCCAAGTCTTAAATATCCCTCTTACTCAATGTCAATTACCCTAAGTCTCCCCATCCTCCATCCCCTTATGTGATGCCAGTCTGTATAATTCCTCACTGAATCTCTGGAGACTGTCAATGGCTGCAGAAGACGGAACTGAGCTGTCCTTCAGATGACTCCTACAACTACAGAGGTAACTTCTTGTCAACATCGCCTCCTCTCTGGGTTCCCCTAAGGCAGAGAATTCTCTTTTGTTTTTCTGTCCCCAATGCTGCAAAAAACCACTGGGGGCCTGAAAGCAGATGTTGAGCTGAACCACAAAGTGTGTAACACCAGCAGAAGGGGACCGGGGCAGGGGGGAGTGGGGGGATGGAAGTAAACCACCAAGTAGGTGATATTAGGGGCAGCTAGATGGCACAGTGGATAGAGATCCGGCCTTGGAGTCAGAAGGACCTCAGTTCAAATCTGCCTAGCTATGTGACTCTGGCCACATCACTTAACCCTGACTGCCTCACCAAAAAGCAAAAAAAAAAAAAAGTAGGTGATACTGGCAAGGTTGGAGACAGAGGATAAAATGGAGAGGGAGCAATAGTTCCCAGCTATATATATATCTAGAGATCAACCTACTGTAACAGGCTAGAGTCTGATCAGAACATTACAATAGTTTTACTTAAGCAGAAGCCAGTGCACCTCAGACCTGAATCATAGATTTACAGTTAGAAATCAGTCCACTCCAACCCCATTACATTACAGAGAAGGAAACTGAAGCTCAGAAAGGTTAAGTGACTAACCCAAGGTCCCATGGGTAGTAAGGAACAGCTGGTGGCACAATGGATAGAGCCCTAGGTCTGGAGTCAGGAAGATATGAGTTCAAATCCGGTCTCAGACATTTACTATGACCCTGGGCAAGGCACTTAACCTATGTTTGCCTCAGTTTCCTCATCTATAAAATGGAGATAATAACAGCTATTTCCCTGGATTATTGTAAGGATCAAATGAGCTAATAACTGTAAGGTATTAGCACAGTGCCTGACACACAGTAAGTACTATATAAATGTTAGCATTTCTTATTATACTACTAATTAGGCAAGTCACTTAAACTCTGTTTGCCTCAGCTCATCATCATCATTATTATTATTATTATTATTATTATTATTATTATTATTATTACTATTACTGTTAACTATGTGACCTCAGGCAAATCACTTTAAAAAAAACCCTCTGTTTATCTCAGTTTCCTCATCTGCTAAATGGGGATAATAATAGTACTTACCTCCTAGGGTTTTTATGAGGATCAACTGAAATAATATTGGTAAAGCATTTAGCACAGTGCCTGGTACATAGTAAGTGCTATATAAATGTTGGCCTTAACTATTGCTATTATGATTATTATTACTATTAATTATGTGACCTTTAGCAAGTCACTTAAAGGAAAAAAAAAACAAAACCTCAGTTTGCCTCAGTTTCCTCATTAGTAAAATGAGGATGATAATAGCATCTACCTCCCAGGGTTGTTATGATGATCAATTGAGATAATATTTGTAAAGCTCTTAGCACAGTGCTTGGCACACAGTAGGTGCTATATAAATGTTAGCTAGTAGTAGTAGTGGTGGTGATGGTGATGGTGGTGGTGGTGGTGGTGGTGGTAGTAGTAGTAGTAGTAGTAGTAGTAGTAGTAGTAGTTGTAGTAGTAAGTGGCAAAGTCAGGATTCAAACCTGGACCTGTTAACTCCAAAGCTAGTGTTCTTCCCACTCTGCAATACTGTCTCTTGACAAGTTCTATTCTCTACAATAAATATGACAATTCCCTATTCTTTGCCACTACTACCACTGTCTCTGGCCCAGCCAGTTTCCTGGAGTTTAACTAGCACATACCAAGTTAGGGAGTAAAGGGAATGTTCAACCCATCTTTCTTGTACAGACTAGTCCTCGCATACTGGACATACAGCAACAGCCTGGGACCCCAGTGGCTTGCAGGCAGCCCCACTGCAGGATTCAGTGAGAAGGAAAGTAATTAACCTCTCTCGATTGGTTTTCACTGACAAAGCAGTTCTGAAGCCAACAGAGTTATCTTGGGGACAGAGTCTTCATCTATTCAGAGCCATCCCAGGCACACACTGTCCCCAGAACACGCACAACCAACAAGAGTGTATCTGCACCTCAAGCAGCTGGCTCTTAAATTAATAAAGCAGTGCACCATGGGATACAACTTCTCCATCGGCATGCAAATACCGTAGGGTGGAGATGGAGAAGGTCCCCTCCTCCTCCCATCCTCAAATTCCAATCCTGGCAGGGTCTCTGTCCCCAACTCCAAACCTGTTCTTCTCCAGTTAGACACAGTACTAACCATTTGGTCTGCCGGCCTTGAAACCTTTCCAAGGGAGGGACCACCTTATAGTGACCTCAGGTAACAGAATCAACAGCTGCTCACCTCAGATTTGAGCTGTGCATACTCTTCTGAACCATAGGGAACGCTGCGAAGGGAAGTGAGGTAGTCATAACTGATGACAGCAGTCTGTAAACCAAGGAAGGACATACACATTCTTAGTGCCCTGACACAATGTGTGTTCTAACTCTGATGTTGTTACCTGTCAGGTACCACATAATTCATATGGCATGTCTCCACCCCTAAAATACACTTACCCCCCAGACCTCTACACGCTGCAAACAACTTACTGTGCCTTCATGTATTAATAATAATAACTAACATTTATTTACATATTGCCTTAAGGTTTGCAGAGAACTTTATACATATTATCCCATTCTATCCTTACAACAATCCTGGGAGTTAAGCGCTAATATTATCCTCATTTTACAGCTGAGGAAATTGAGGCTGAAAGTGGTTAAATTACTTGCCTAAAGTTGTGCAGCTATTAAGTGTCCGAGGCAGGATTCAAATTCAGGTCATCCTGACTTCAAGTCCAACACTATCCAATAAGCCACCTTTTTGTTATTGTTCAGTCATTTCAGTCGTGTCTGACTCTCCATGACCCACTTGGGGTTTTCTTGGCAAAGGCACTGGAATGGTTTGCCATTTCCTTCTCCAGCTCATTTTATAGATGAGGAAACTGAGACAAACAGGGTGAAGTGACTTGCCCAGGGTCACACAGCTAGTAAGTGTCTAAGGCCAGATTTGACATCAGGAAGATGAATCTTTCTAACTCTAGCCCCAGTCTAGCTAGACTGGGCCATCTAACTACCCAATCAGCCACCTAAACAACAAAGAGCTCTACGATGTGCCAGATATTGCACTAGGTGCTTAAGAGTCACGGACTCAGCTGAAAGAGAGACAGCTATATGGCATATTGGAAAATGCACTAATACAATGATTCAAGACAATTCCAAAAGACTTATCATGATGGAAAATGCTATCCACAACCAGAAAAAGAACTAATGGAGCCTGAATGCAGATCAAAACATACTATTTTTACTTTCCTTATTCTTTTTGTAGTTTTTCTTTTTCTGTTTCTTCTTATACAACATGACTAATATGGAAATATGTTTTACATGATTGCACATATACAACCTGTATCAAATTGCTTAACTGTCTTAGGGAGAAGAAAAGGAGGGAGGGGAGGAAGAAAATTTGGAACTAAAAATTTTATTAAAAAGTGAATGTTAAAAATTGCCTTTACATGAATTGGAAAAAATAAAATAATACTTAAAGGGAAAGTGTGCTGGCATGAATACAAGTAATATGATTTATATATTTTCTATAACCATGCATATATGTGTGTGTCTGTCTATGTAATGTGCTATGTAATGTAATATGCAACGTGTCTATGTGTCTATGTAATCTTTCCTAAAGTCTCCACAATGAGGCTTTATTAATTTTTTTTTTTTAGGCAATTGAAGTTAAGTGACTTGCCCAGAGTCACACAGCTAGTAAGTGTCTGAGGTCACATTTGAACTCATGTCCTCCTGACTCCAGGGCTGGTGCTCTATCCACTACACCACCTAGCTGCCCCCAAAATGAAGCTTTAAAATCAATTCACTCCCACTAAGAAAAACCTACCGTGGCTACAGCTCTGCCTATCCTGACTGCTCCAAAATCATTGGGATCTATGTACTTGTTACTGTAAAGGTAGAAGCCAGAGGAAGCCAAGGCCATACTGGTCCAAGAAACAATTTTCAGTGCCCTCCTGGCCATATTGTCTGTCGGCCCCTGAAAAAGAGAAAGCAAAAGAAACCACATGTATAGAATGATTTTACATATACATACATATTTGTGTGTAATGGTAGCCGTCTCTAGAGTGGGGGAAAGAGAAAGGGAAAAAAAGGGAATTTACATGATAACTTTATTATACATTTAAAAGGAAAGCAAGTTGTACATAAAAGATTTGCAGTTTCACGTGCAATCATCTTTACTATCATACTGTTATGGAAATGCTTGTTTTATTCAATAAATTAAAAATAAAATAAAATTTTAACAAATGATAAAGACCAAAATGTGTCTTTTCTTCAGTGCAGAGGTGTTTGGGAACAAGGTAAGCTAGCAGTAGACAGGGCACTGGACTTGGAGTCAGGAGGACTGGGTTCACATCCCACCTTGGATACTTACTAGCTTGTAATCCTGAGCAGGTCACTTAACTTCTTTGTGGCTCAGTTTCCTCAGCCATAAAAATGTAGGGGTTGAACTCAATGGCTTCTAAGGTTCTTTCCAGCTTTAAATCTATGATCCTGTTTCTGTGATAGTATCCCATACCCAGGAAAACCACAGCAAAATGATGGAAAGTCAAAGTCATCTATCCATAGGAATCTAACTTCAGACAAGGATGTCTGGGCAGAATAGGCAAGTTAAGCCCTGCACTTATAGCCAACTTTCCAGATGTTTGGAATTTTCAAAAAAAAAAAAAATGAGCTTTACTGACTCCTTTTGTTTTTCCCTTAGTCATTTCCAGAACCAGAGCTTCCTGACTCCAAAACAGACCCTCTATCCACTACGCCATTTTGCCATTTTGCCTCTCCTTGTCCGTAGAAATAAGTAAACATTGGCATGTAGAGAAATGCACCTCTCCAATCCCATTTATAGGAAGGAATGTTGGCATGTAGAGACTCACACCTATCTATTCTTATGTATATGGGGGAACACTGGCATGTGCAGACATGTACCTCTCCATTCCTATGCATATGAGGGAAGGTTGGCATGTAGAGATATGTACTTCTCTAATTCCATGTATTCGAGGGAATGTTGGCATGAAGACAGATACACCCCTCCAATTCCATATATAAGAGGGAATATTGGCATGAATAGGCATGCACCTCTCCTTTCCTGTGTAAAAAGGGGAACACTGGCATGTGGAGGCATCTTACATGCCTATATTTACTCAACTAGTTGCATGCATAGCTAAATTTACCCCCTTGTAACAAAAACAAAGGAATATGCTCAATATGACCATAAACTCCTAGCAGACAGGGGACTACACTTTTTACTTCTTTGTGTCATGCTTCATAGTCATTAGCACAATGTCCTGCACATTAGGAGGCACTTTTTAAACGTTTGCAGATTTGGTCGACTTCATTAATCTAATCATTTGTTGATGTGGGGGTTCTCAGATCCGAATCAATGCTCCAAGAGATATCAGCCCTTTCCCACCTGTACCTCATTCTCTTTTCTCACTTATTCTGTCTGCCCCTCCATTAGTTGGACAGTGTCCCTCCTCCATGGTGTCTGACTCTTTGTAACCCCACTTGGGGTTTTCTTGACAGATATATTGGAGTGGTTTGCCATTTTCTTCTCCAGCTCATTTTACAGATAAGGAAACTGAGGCAAATAGGGTTAAGTGACGTGCTCAGGGTCACAGAGCTAGTAAGTATCTGAGGCCAGATTTGAACTCAAGAAGATAAGTCTTTTCTGCATCAGGCCCAGTACTCTATCCACTGTGCGATCTAGCTGCCCTCCCCAGGGGCCCTGGCAATTAAAGTGCTTTTCCTCTCTTGATGCCTAAGAGGGCCTGAGGCATAGAAATCTCACACTAGGCCTGAACTCTCGAGCTGAAGTTACTGACAAGGAGGAAGTCCTAAATCACCAGCTCTCTCGAAGATTAATCCAGATCTTTGTTGATGTTGTCGTTATTGTTCAGTCATTTCAGTTGTGTCCAACTCTTCATGACCCCATTTGAGGTTTTCTTGGCCACTCTGCAAGTCTTTAAGACAGTTCCAGGATTACATGTGGCTTAAATCTAGACTATTAGGCTCTCATTCTATGCTTCAATTCCCCCTTGACCACCAGCACATTCAGCTTTTCTCCCAACCTGGCCCATCAAGCAGTATTTATAAAAACAACTCACTTTTACATTGTGCTTCAAGATTTACAAAGCATTTCTCTCACGATACACCAATGCTTTATTTAGATATTAATAGTGCACATTTATGTTATGATTTACAAAATTACTTTACATAATAATCATAATTTATTGAGAGTAAGCATGGTGCAATGGAAAAATTATTGACCCTGGGGTCACAGGACCTAAGTCTGAGTCCTGCCCCGCCATTTTCTACCAGCATGACCTTGGCCAAGATCTTTAATAAAAGCTAGCATTTACAGAAAGCTATTTTATTTATATAAATTTATTTATGTATATAAAGCTATTTATATAGAAGGTTTGCCAAAAAACTACATGTTATCTCATTTGAACCTCACAACAACCCTCTGAAGTAGGTGCTACTATGATCCTCTTTTTAAAGATGAGGAAATGGAGGCTGTGAAAGGTTAAGTAACTTGCCCAACATCCCACAGCTAGTGTGTGAGGAGGTATTTGAATTCATGTCTTCCTAATTCCAAAGCCAAAACTCTATCCACTGCACCACCTAGCTGCTAACCCTTTGAGCCTCAGTTTCCTCACCTGTAAAATGAAATACTTAAACTAGATAACCTATAAGGTTTCATCAGCTTTAGCTCTACATATGTGATCCTGTGATCAAACAAAGGTATTTATTAAGCACCTAATATATGCCCTGGACTGAATAAGGCTCTAGGAATACGAAGATAAAAATGAAACAGTCCTTGCCCTCAAGGAGCTTACATTCCATCAGGTAGTAATGTATGTACTTCTACACTTTAATCACTTAAAACTGAACTCTGAATTCTGGAGTGCCCAAATGCCCACGAAATAATGCAAGAAGGAAACTAAGTCTCAGAGAGATTTAAGTAATTTACCCAGCAGTCAGGATTTGGACTCAGGTCACTGATAACAAATAACAGTGGTTTTGATATCACAAGCATTCTACCTCCCAGTCAGTCATAAAGTTGTTCCTTTCTCTTTTTAAAAAAGAAATGTTAACAAAAAAAAAAAACACCTCACACACTCAAATTCATTAGTAAAAGCCATCCTAAAGGAAGCAAGGCTGCCAAGTTCACAACCCCCACCTTGCTCCTCCTCTCACTGCTGACACTGCTGACAATTATTGTAAAGGAAGGTTTAAGGAGCTAATTGGCCCGAGTTGTTTACCTAGGTTTCATTTATTGGTCCAAATGGTTGGGATCAGTTCCCTGCAGTGCAGGACAGGGGTTAGGCTTTTTAAATGCCCTTTTTTAATTGAAAAATAAATTTAAACCTTGCTTCCAAGGACACTCTTTTTTGTTCCACTGGTCATAAAATTCTCTCTATTCCCATGTCACTTTACAAAGACTTTTTAATAAGCTAAGCCTACATTTCAGAGGTGTTTACGAGCAGTTTGATATGGAGGGACAAAAACATCCCTTTATTTTGCAAAGAAAACCCCAGCTGGTACTAGACCTGGATTTTTTTTAAATGGCACAGTAGAAAATGTTGGAGGAGCTGTGGGAAAACTGGTACATTAATGCACTGTTGGTGAAGCTGCGTGCTGGTCCGGCCATTCTGCAAAGTAATTTGGAACTCCAAAAAAGTTACTAAACTGTGTATACCCTTTGCCCCAGTGATGCCACTTCTAGGTCTATACAGCAAAGAGATCAAAGAAAGAGGAAAAAGACCCATATGTACAAAAATATTTGTAGCAGTCATTTTTGCAGCGGCAAAGAACTGAAAACTAAGAGAGTGTCCATCAAACAGGGAATGGCTGAACAAGTTATGGTATATGAATGTGATGGAGGACTACTGTGCCATAAGAACTGATCAACGGCATGGTTTCAAAAGAATCTGGAAAAACTTGTGTAAACCGAGGTAGAGTGAAGTGAGCAGAGTCTGGAGAACAATTTATATAATAATAACAATCTTGTAAAGACAAACACATTAAAGGCCTTAAGAACTCGAATGAACACAATGGCTAACTATGAATCTAGAGGACTCATGATGAAACATGATGCCTACCTCCTGACAGGGGATTTAGGATACAAATTAAGGCCCATTTGCGGGGGGGAGGAACATGGCCAATGTGGGGATCTGCTTTGCTTGACTATAGGTATTTGTTACAAGGGTTGTTTTTTTTTTTTTTACATGAGGCAATTGGGGTTAAGTGACTTGCCCAGAGTCACACAGCTAGTGAGTACAAGGGTTTTTGTTTTCCTTTCTTTTTCACTGGGGGGAAGTGGAAGGAAGAGAAGATGGATTTTAATTGGGAAAAAAAACAAAATTTAATTAAAAATTATATAGTAGAAAGAGCACTGGATGTGGACTCAGAAGGCTTGGATTCAAATCCTAGCTCTCCTACTTACAATGTGACCTTAATTTCTCTGGGCTTCAGCTCTCTCATTTGCAAAATAAGATGTTGGACTAGGATGAACTATGAGGTCTCTTTCACTTCCAAATCTATGAAAAATTGAGAGAAACTCACGTAATAAACTTATCATAAAATGAAGTTTATGGAGCTTTCAGGGTTACACTGTAAAGTTCCTAACACTTTAGTGAGAAAGGTAGTGAAAGTATTGATTAGCTTCATTTTACAAATGAAGAAACTGAGGCTCTGAAAGGTTAAGAGTTTTGCAGTCACACAGCTCATAAACTGTAGAATTTAAACCTAAGTAGCCTACCACTCCATGTCCCTTCCTCCAACCCCTCCCCCGAAACATCCCCACTCCACCAACTAACTACACTTCTCTCCGATGATGCTGCCTGATGAGTAGGGCATTATTCTCGTTTTACAGATGAGGAAACTGAGGCAGACATAAGTTAAGTGACTTGCCTAGGATCACTACTCACAAGAAAGAGAGATCTTAAGAAGTCAGTGATTCTAATCTACCTGGAT